ATCTCAAAATCATACCGGCTTGCCGCACTAAGGCAGAAATCTTAGCCGCACAGATGCAGAAGGCTGTCATTCTTGGCTCACTGCGTTTGCTCAGGGCACATGATTCTCGGACCCAATGATCACTTACCCCACGGTGTGGGGAGTGGTCATTGGTTGCTTACGCTGGCGCGCCCTCCCGAATGTTTCGGGGCTTCGGGGGATAGGGCCTGACCAGCGCACACTAATAAAAAAAGTAAAAAAAAAATAATATTAATTTGTAGTTCCATATAAAGACAATAAATATACAATCTTTAAAAATGATTGAAAAAACTACAAATAAGGCTAGAAACAACATGTACCGAAAGGGTACTGTTGATCTTAGCTCTAGCCTTGAAGAATAGAAAACTAAACAATAGAAAAAAAAAGAAAAAAGAAGAGAAAAAAAAGAGGAAGGAGAGAGAGGGAAGAGGGAGAAAAAACATGTTAAATTCATTACTGATAATTTTTCAAAAGTATACAATCTATGAAATCAATTTCTTTCTGATTGAGCAGCGATGAGATATTTTTTGTAACAGCACTTGAATGAAGAAACTTTACTAACTTTATATTTTTGTGGAATATTATTGTACAAACTATATATATTATAACTGAAGGATCGTCGATACAGAGTAGGTCCATGACGTGTTTCGTTATACGTTATACCTCTTCAGGCATTACTCGCCTGGTGCAAAATCCGAATAGATAAAAGTACCAATAAAATATTAAAGGAAGATTGGGAACAAGGAATATCATATGATTCCAACTAATTGATAATATATAATCGCCAACTAAAACGAGCTGATGGAACAGATATTCGTCGTAATTAGACACATTTTTATGATACACATTCCCAGGCTGATGTAATAGATATTAGTAGGTATATCATTTATATTCCAAAAATTCAGATAAGAATGCAAAATTTCGAAATCATGTAATGGGTAATCGTACAGAGCTGGATGAACTGATATTCCATATGTTTAGCCAATCTCAACAGTAAAGTTCCAAGCTGATGAAACAGATATTTGAAGATGTACCGCTCATACTTTCGAAAATTACAGACTTGAAATGAAAAAATTTGTCAAATTATTCCATTGGCAATCATAAGAAGCTGAATGAACAGATATTCTTCACAATTGCTTAACTCCAGTAATAATTTTCTTTCTAAGCTGATGAACAGTTATTAGTTATTTCAGGAGAAAGGAAACATGGAAAATTGCATGAAATAATAGGATAAGGATAAACTATGTTCGAAATAACCTGTTATATATGGATTTGAAATAACAATTGAAGCACAAAACCAACTTTCAACACATGCAAAGCTAATGATTGAACAACAAAAAAAACCAGTTATTTAAAATACATATATTGAAACCAAGGAAAAACTGTAATTTTACTGAATGAAACGGCTATAAAATCCTCTCATTCTTGTGAAATCCACAAAATATTATTTATACTTCAACAATTCAACTTTTTGTATTGGAAAATCAGTTTCACAGGCCCATTATGGAGAATGAAGCCCCCTAGATCGAGAGAAGCGCCTCCTCCACATGTCGCAACTCAGTACTCCCTCGGCTTATTAACGAAGGGTTTTTTTCCCTGTTTCACCCATTCTTCATTCATGCACATAATGAAAGACCTCATTTAAAAACCTAATTAAATATTTATTGTAACGAAATGGGAAAAATACTTCAGGAATAAACTTACACTGAAATACAATAAATCATCAAAAACTTACGTTATACTGCCACCCAGCAGGATCGAAAAAAAGAAGATCTGCTGCATTGCTGGAACCTTTCGTGAAGATCAATTAGATACTTGATCATGTACAGACAGTATGAAGATTTATACGTTGACATTGCAACTTTGATCCGGTCACTGTAGTAATGTAAAATTCTCAGTATGAAATCTGTGCAAAGTCTGAGTATTTGGAGATTGTTTTATATTTCTATATCTTGTGATCGTATCAATTTTAATGTCTATGAACTTGGAATATAAAAGATGGAATTCTGAATACTGAGTGTTTTTGTTTTAGAATCATGAAGTTGAGGTTGGAACATCTTTCAATTCATGTATTTACTTAAATGAATTAGAATCATTTCATGATTATTTTCCATATTTGACATTATCAAACCAAACCTTGGCTTTAACAGTATTTTTTTGCCAACCAGCAATGCCCAATCAACAAATCTACTAGCTGAACAATTTGCGTCTCACTCCACAGTCCTACGAAGAAGGGGTTTTTTCTTCTTGTTGGGTCTATTCCCAAAAATGCTAACAAAAATCTTCCAAATAACTATAGATCAGTCGTTTTACTGTCAGTGATATAAAAAATCATGAAGAAAACCGAAAACCACCATATCCTTAAAAGACTTCAACATATTGAACGATCTTCAATATGGCTATCGGAAACAAAGACCAACAAGCGACCTTCTATCGTATGTCACCCATATTTGGAATAACACAATCGAGAAACATAGATAGAGCTGTTGCGCTTGATATTTCTAAGGCATTTGGTCGTGTGTGTCATGAGGATTTGCTGGACAAACTTTGATGCTATAGCTTGTCGGATCATTTTTCTATATGGGTCTCTAGCTTCCTGAAAGTGGTCGTCGATGGACTTCTACCATCAACGCTGGTGTTTCCCAGCGATCTATATTGTCTCCAATCCTCTTTCTATTGTATATCGACGACAGCACAATTGTCTCGTCATTCCATTTGCATTCCTGGACATCAGCTACGGATGCACATCTTAACCGGCAGCAGGAGGATGCAACATGGATTTATAAACCATAAATCAACAATTACGGTCATAAATTCATTTTATCACGATATTGTGAAATATATTGAGACAGGCGAGTGCCCTGTTGGAGTGTTTTACGATCCGAGCAGGGCATTCGACTGTGTCAAACATTCATCCTTATTAGCTAAGTTAGCCAAATACGGTAAATGCGATGTACCTTTAAATTGGATAGAAACTTTCTTGAAAAACAGGAAGCAATATGTCAGTATTTTTTATCGTAACCATTCAGTAGAGCGTCATATCAATTATAATCAAGTAGAAGTCAAATATGGGGTACCGCAAGGGTCCATATTGGGACCTGTACTCTTTATACAGGGCTAGTCAAATTCGTTTCTGTACATGGGGATCTCGTAAACGATAAGAGATAGAGTGTCGGATGAATTGTTGCAAAGTTGCGTATTTCAGCGACATATTCAATGATGTAAAAATATCGAATATAGCTCTTTTGGTTCTGGAGATATACAGGAAAAACCGAAAAATCCCAAATTATTTTTTTGCCTATATCTTCTTCATTCGCAGACATATTGAAAATCTGTCCACATTTTGCTATTGGCACTTGAGGTGGGCTATCAGAATATGTCCATGAATCTTTTATACAGGATATCATCTGACTTGGGCCCACCCCCATCTTTGAATTTTTAAATAGGAACCTGTATTTTTGTTGTAGTTTTTGGATCGTAGACGTTCACTTCATACTGAGAAATTTAATTCTATTTTATATTTCCAGATGTTTCGGTAATATTTGATTATAATTGGGTGAATCACTCACTTTTAAATTACGATCCTGGAAATTGGTTGACTGAGTTGAATAAAAACACAATAGCAACTTTCACGTCTCCCTATCTACCGTAGAGTTTTCAGATAGTTTTTTTCCCCATTTTTAGGTACCTATTCACATTTTTTCCATTGCTCTGAACGTTTTCTACAATGAACTTCGATTAAGAAAACCTTTTATGACTATCTGAAACACATCTACAACAAAAATATATTATATGTATTTTGATGAGCAGAAAAAAAATGATAGCAATTATAACATCCGAAACGAACACTATAATTGTAATGAGAATTGAAATGAACTAATTTTATATACAAAAAAATTAATGGCACAATGTTCGAATTGGAGTCCTTCCATTTCGAGACAAATAATGGGCCAATAAGATGGCCTGCAAGATCATCAAATCTTACTATTTTGGACTATTTTCTATGGGGGATATTGAAAAATAGGATTTACGCTGGCAGAGGGATAGAAAATGTGGAACACTCGCGATTGAGGATTTTCAATGATTTCGCAACAATGTAGCAAATAAGTGTATTAAGGGCAATAAATAATAGGAAAAACCGAGTTCAAAATTGTCTCGGAATGGAAGGACTCCATTTACTGCCCTATTATTTTTTTTTTGTGTATATAAATTAGTTCATTTCAATTTTCATTACAATTATAGTGATCATTTCGGATGTTATTATTGCTATCATTTTTTTTCTGCTCATTCGAAGTTCATTGTAGAAAACGCTCAGAGCAATGGAAAAAATATGAATAGATGCCTAAAAATGGGGAAAAAACTCTCTACAAACTCTATGGTACTTAAGGAAACGTGAAAGTTACTATTGTGTTTTCATTCAACTCAGTCAACCAATATCCAGGGCCGTAATTTAAAAGAGAATAACTCACACAATTATATTCAAATATTACTGAAATATCCCGAAATATAAAATAAAATTCAACTTCTCAGTATGAAGTGAACGTCTACGATACAAAAACTACTACAAAAAATGCAGGTCCGTATTTAAAAATTCAAAGATAGGGGTGGCCCAAGGCAGATGACACCCTGTATAAAAGATTCATGGACATATTCTGATACCACACATCAAGTGCCAATAGCAAAATGTGGACAGATTTTCAATATGTCTGCGATTAAAGAAGATATAGGCAAAAACATAATTTGGGATTTTTTGGTTTTTCCTTTATATCTCCAGAACCAAAAGGGCTATATTCTATTATTTATTCTTTTATAACGTGTTAGGAATCACACGTTAAAAGGTAAGACCTCGTTAATCCTTAGCTCGCACAAGTTTCGACTTCTGAGGGTTGTCGTTCGTAGGGGTGCGACAGCTGGTTATCGGAAAAACAGATTTTAAACAGATTTTAAACAGATTTTTTTTTTAAACATCATTGGATAGATCTCTGAAATACGCAACTTTGCCACAATTTAACCGACACTCTATCTCTTATTGTTTACGAGATCCCCATGTACAAAAGCGAATTTGAATAGCCCTGTATTTATCTAAATAAAATTGGGCATATCTGGAACATCGAAGGAAGGTTTGAGATGTGTTCCTCTTTTATAGATACTTTCATAGATACTTTTCAAGAGACTTAGCACAATAGATACCACCAAAAGCGGTACATATAAGATATAAGCGACGGACTGTGGCTGCTCATCGTTTTGAGGTTCAACTCAGTACTCCTCCAACTCGCACAGGCACCGCTCTTGGATTTTCTTTTTATCCATTCTCTTCAAATTAACAAAAGTTGCCTCACTTAATGTTCTATCCCAGAAACTAATAACCCGACAGCTGTAAAATTTGAACACGTGTTTTTTGAAGGTTTTGGTTAATACAAGTAGCACCATCTGCGTGTTGTCCTACGAACTTTTCAGCTAATCTAATAGAAATATGTGATTTTTTGATATTCGAAAAAACTGTTTTCTGTAAGATGTTGAAATGGAATAAAACAAGCTGTGTGTGAGGTACTAACAAAATAATTTTTTTATAAAGGCACATGTATGCCATTAAGTGTGGAATATGACATCATTCAAATGCCCGCCTCGGCTTCTCACGGTGGCACGGATCCGAGTGGTCCAATTTTCAATGACCCTTCCGCATAGATCCGGCTGAATTTGAGCGATGGACTGTGTTATGTTCACCTTCAGGGCATCGGTCAATTGTGGTTTATTTGCATAGACCTGCGACTTCAAGAAACCCCACAGGAAAAAATCTAGCGGGGTCAAATCGCATGACCTTGGTAGCCAATTCACATCACCCCTGCGAGAGATAACCTTACCCTCGAATCGTTCATGCAAAATGTCAATCGTGGCGTTTGCTGTGAGGCACGTAGCGCCGTCCTGCTGGAACCACATGTTGTATAGGTCCACATGGTTCAATTTGAGCCATAAAAAATTAGTTATCATCGTTCTGTAGCGCTCGCTGTTGACGGTGACCGCCTCACTAACGTCGTTTTCAAAAAAGTACGGACCAATTACGCCGCCGGCTCAAAATCCACACCAAACAGTAACTTCTTGAGGATGCATTATCACCTGGTGAACCTCGCGCACTAAAGATGATTTTTCGGTCAAAATTGGGGTACTCTTCCAAACGATTCGAAGCCCAGTCAGCGAACAAACGGCGTTGTCTATGGTCTATGGTCAGTTGGATCTTGTACGGGTGTAGGCCCAAGTCCCGACGCAAAATTCGCCAAGTTGAAGTCTGCGAAAGGACGAGTTCTTGTGCACGGCGAGGAATAGACTGCCTCGGGTTCTGCTGTACACTTTCACGGACCGCAGCGATGTTCTCGGCCGATCTTGCGTTCCTTGAACGGGTATTGGCTAATTGTTTATTGAACCAGTAGTCTCAAATTTGGCCACCACACATTGAAGAGTCGACTGTGAAGGGCCACCACGTCTTCCGTAAAATGGGGCAATGCGCGCAACGTTTGCGTTAACGAACACTCATTTTGATAATAAAGTTTTATCATTTGAACTGAATAATAAACAAAAGATTTGACAGATGTCACAAAAACAAAATGGCCGTTACGGGGCGACAAAATCTACCCGCGTCAATTGAAAAACCCTTTTATATACCTTTTTAAAAGTTCCAAGAAAAATACAAGAGCAAATTTTTTCACCTTATTGCAGGTGCTCCCCGCATTATCAAGCAGTTGAAAGACACCACAGTCGAGGAAGGAGCAACCTTACACTTGGAAGTGGAAGTCGAAGGCTGTCCAACACCCACTGTGAAGTGGCTGAGGAACGGACGAGAAGTTTCGGCAGACGCCAGGATCAAAATAAGCAGAGACACGCAGAGACACGAAACATACAACTTGGACGTGAATCTTATCAAGTACGAAGAACAAGGAGAGTACGAAGTTATCGTGACGAACACGCTTGGAACTGTCAGCAGCAAGAGTTTCGTCACAGTACACAGTGAGTACCGTTTGGAACTTCTTTGAATTTTTGAGAAATGTGAGACAGAACTACTCGAAAGTTCTGCGTCAGGTCGAATTATTGGGAAACATAACAGTTGATGAAGGAAGTTTCTATTGAAAACGATATTGGCCTTGGTTTTGGATATAATGGTTTTTCATGGTGTTGTATACTTGCGAACAATTCGCAGCTTTTGGAGTCGTTGTTATGGCATGTATTCAGGTGGTGTAAGTATATGGCTGTGACCGTTTGTTTGTTGTGAAGTGTGAGTTTGGTTTCTTCTGATCTGACTGATATTCACCTATTTGTTTGGCTGTCGTTATCCCCGCTGCAATCTCCTGAATGCCTTGGTTTTCTAGGTTTACCTTGTCTTTCTGGTTGTTCCAGAAATTTTTCATGCTTCTCATTGATGTACATCTGTATGTATTATCTGTAATTCCTCTGACGTAGGATGAGATGACTTCAATTTCTTTTGCGTTTGTTCCTTCCTTGTTTTCTTTTCTTTGGTGTGTTGCTTTGTGAATTGTATGACTTCAATATCCATAACTACGTTTCAAGTTCAGCTACCAATCAGGACACATGAATATGGTTTTGCCCAACCTTGTTTATGGTTTCTGTCAGATTACCTCGGGTTGAAGGGATCACTAAAGTCACCACAAAGACAGCTTCAGTACCTGCGTGACATCCGAATCCTGAATGATACAGGTGATAGTTTAGTGAGTGGATCAGAATCAGGGAAAGCTCGTGGACCAAGCACTTCAAAAATATGCAAGCCACAACCATGTATTGTCACATATTTCTGATTCATTGACTGTCATCAGTACAGTATAGCCAAGTGCAAGACTGGACAAGACTGGACAAGACTGGACACTGAAAATGGTTTTTATTTTTTTCTTGCTTTATTTTTCGAAGGATTCAAGAATACATTGCCCTTCCACATTGCCACTTTTTCCCTGCTACATAACGGTGTTTTCAGATTTGCTATCCGACGTTTTGTCTTCCGACCATCATCAACTTTATTTTTTCTTATGGGCGCTACATTGGATTCTTTCTGTTTTGAATAGAACCATATTTTACCTTTTCAATGATGTATCAAAAATTATCATTCTTTTTCGAAAAATTGGAGACATACAAAAAAATTTATTCTTATCATAATAGGCTTTGACTTTGATGTTTTCAAATTTGACTTTCAATTTGTTATACCCAATGACATTTTGTTATTGTACAAGTCATTGAATTTTTGGCGAAAAATGGCTTTGACGAATGAAGAAAAAAGAGATATGATACAAATTTATTACAAATACGATAGAAACAGTGTTAGGACATCGGAAATGTATTTAAACTTGTATCCCGAAAGACGACAACCACATCGAACTATGTTCAAGCTATTGGATCAAAATCTCACCGAGTTTGGTTCATTTGTAAAGCCGAGGGAAAAATACAGAGACAGAAACAAAAGAAAATTTGATCAATGAGGTATGTATGAGGTAAGTTAGACATTGTGTTCTTTTCCATAAAAATCATTAATTTGCAGATAAACATGAACTCGGGGAAATCTACAAGTCAAATTTCCTTCGAAATGAATATTTGTCATAGAAGTGCTTGGAGACATCTCAAAAAAGCGGTTTAAAATATTACAAAACACACATATCTCAAAAATTGCATCCAGGTGATCCCTTTGGCTAACTATAACAACATCTGGTTTCAACATGATGGTGCTCCACCGTACACTACCAGACAAGTATCCAATTACGTGACTGGAAGATAGGGAATAATGTGCCGGTGATGTGGCCAGCAAAGTCTCCAGACTTGAGTGTTATGGATACATTCTCATGGGGTACACTGAAAAATAGAGTTTATGATCAGAGAAAATATCAAAATATTGAGGACTTTCAACACAGCATTGTTAGGGAGTTCGGAAGATTGAGGACGAGGGAAATTAATCGTGCAGTGAATAATATTTGAAGAAGGCCAGCATTTTGAGCATTTGCTGTGATTTACTTTTGTCTTTACATTTTAGTTGATTATTGTTATTTGTTCAAAGTTCTATTTTCATTGAAAAGGACACAATGTCTAATTTACCTCATACACGCCTCATTTATGAAATTTTCATGTTGATATTCTGTCTCCGTATTTTTTCATTGGCTTTTCAATGAAAGTGAGATTTTGATCGAATAACTTGAACATAGTTCAATGTGGTTGTCGTCTTTCGGGTTACAAGTTTAAATGCATTTCCGATGTCCTAACACTGTTTCTGTCGTATTTGTAATAAATTTGTATCATATCTCTTTTTTCTTCATTCGTTAAAGTCATTTTTCTACACCCGTACTCTAACAATACGCTTATATGACCATAATCCGTTTCATAATGATATCCATTATGATTCAGATTTTTCATAACGATACAGATTATCAACCAATAGAAACCCATAATTTTTCAATCAAGAATCCTGTTCCTTTGTTTGTCCTAGATTCTAACCTAAGTAACTAATTGCTTTATTAGTCAAAATCAGTTTTCATATTACCTACCTATATTATCAAAATGTCTGAAAACAGTGATATAGAAGGAATACCATCGACTCCAATATTTTCAAAAGATCAGATTAATTACAGTTGTTATATTCAATATAAATATAATTAAAATATTTATAGTTTTTATATATCCATGATAATACCATTAAGTTTGTGTTTTTTTTTAAATATGAGTTAATTACTGTAAATGTGTTCAATACAAATATAATATTTATAGTTCTTCATTATTTATCGAGTTTAGAAAAAATAGCGTATGCAACTCTCATGTAATGGTTATTAATACACTCGCATATACCATACAAAACTCGCCTTCGGCTCGTTTCGTATCCCGGTTAATGCTCGTGTCTTAATAACCATCATTACATGATCGTTGCATAATATACTATTTTCGCCAGAATTTCAATGACTTTAACGATGACAATAACAATAACGAAATGTCATTGAGTGTAACAATTCGAAAGTCAAATTTAGAAACATCAAAGTCAACTACTATTATGATAAGATTTTTTTAAATATCTCTAATTTTTTTAAAAAGAATGATAACATCATCATTGAAAAAAGTTAATCTGGTTCTATTCAAAACAGAAAGAATACAATAAAAAAAATGAAGTTGATGTTTGTTTGAAGTTGGTTGATGTTAGTGGCCGGAAGACGAAACGTCGGATAGCAAATCTGAAAACACCGTTAGGTAGCAGGGTAAAAGTGGCAATGTGGAAGTGCAGTTTATTTTCGAATCCTTCGAAAAATGAAGCCAGAAAAAAATTAAAACCATTTTTCGAAATTTCAGTTTTTTTCGGATATCTCCGGATATACTCGGAATTTCAGAACTTTCTCAACTGCATATTGTTAGTCAGGTAAATGCGCAACTTTACCCCAATTTAACCATCTTCGTATCTCTCATAGCTTCCGAGATCAAAATGGTAAGGATCGAATTTGAAACACCCTGTATATTGGTTGAGAAGACCATTTTGCATATCCCACAATTATTCAACTTTACTAACATTGATTCGATTGGTGATTGTTTCATTATGGTTATAATTTTCGTTTTCACTCCTTCGTATCTCTCTTTTTTATCAGACTATTGAGTAACTCAGATAGAAAGGAAAATGTAGAAGGAACGTTATTTGGGTAGAGCAACTGTGTTTTCCCATTTTGAAATGTTGCATTAACCATGATGTTCATACAGCTGAGAAATCGTGAAAAAATATTCTTGAAATCTAGAAAATATAGATGTCTACTTCTCTATAATTTTTAATACATATGCAGATATTTTGTATTACACGTTATCGTTATAAAACGATCCAAGCAGATGTAATGGTTTTCCAAATTTATGGAAACTCATGTAAGTACCTTGTTTTGGGTGTTTGCATCAACCTCTGAAACATTATATCGTTCCTGTTTCATTTCCTTGTATGTCTGAAGAGTCCTGTTACGTTTTCAATTGTTTATGTTCATTCCTTGTGATCCTAGAAAGGATTTATGACAAAATCCTCTTGTATGTTACCCGCTAACAAATTCCAGAAGTTACTCACACTGACGCTATCGAGGAAACCGAGGAAGCGCCGAAACAAGTGAAATTCAAAGTCGTCGAGGACGAACCTGAAAACGCCATATCAGCAGAGAGAGAAGAAAAAATTGAAGTTGAGCCTGAAGAACCGAAACATGCTGAAGTGGAGGAAAAAATCGAGGAACCAAAACAATCGGGAGGTAGGATGAAAGAGATACATTTGATTGAGAATATGTGTTGTACTCTACTGAGGAAGTGTTTCGTGAATAATAATGATAATAAAAATATTGTTTTCGTTTTTCCCTTCATTATTGGAAGAAATGGCGGAATTTTTGTTGGATGTTAGCTGACTCATTGGAAACGTTAATGAAACATTTACGTGGAAAAAATCTGTATTTCATGGAATATATTTTTTTTAATAAGGGGAAATGTTCCTCAATTTGTGTTATTACAGCAAATGCAAGTTTGAACAAAATAAAGTTGAGTTTAATTGATGAGTTTTTCAAATTCTCTTCGAAAAGTATTAAAATTGATGTTTCAAATGTTAGGTTTCAATTTTTAAAGAGATTTGTTTCTAATTCACATATTGGCAACAGCGCCTATATCAAGTTGAAATAATTTATACTTACCTAGATATTCTACTTTAAAAAAAGAAAATCATCTTCAGAAATCAACAATTAAGGCAAAATATAAATTATAGTTCAATACCACCTCCACAAGCCACATAAACAACAGTTGTTTTGTTATTTATTTATATAGAGGAAGATAGGTTAGGTCATATGTCACATAATTTCTCAGAACTCGGAACATAACAGAACAGCAGAACAGCACGCCTCTGAGATATGTCATCTTTGTTTGTCTCATACAGGTAACAGATTCATTGTCCTTTATTAGCTATAACCGATGTTGCCAAATGGTGAAATAGAAACGAATCCCTTTAAATGTTGAATGCATTATTTCATTCCTTTTTTTAGGTATTTAAATAATTTTTTAAGAAAAAGGTTGAAATGATAGTTTAAAATGCGTTGTTTTAGAGCTCTTTTATGAAAACTACTTGATTTTCGTCTGGAGGAACATTCCTCATTCAATTTCAAATTCTATCAACAATAGTTGATAGTTGCAAATCTAGAGCTCATATGTTCCACAGAAAGGAAAGAAATAAACCAGCAATTAATAAATTTTAACAAATTGTTTTTTTAATGCATCAATCTTTAGCGTTTTGTTGAAAATCTTTTTGTTATTTCAATTTATGTTTTCAGTAAAGCAATTCAGTAGGAAGTTGAGGTCAATTTCATAGTAGTTTGGGGTTTGAATCTAATAGCAACATTCATTGGAAAATATCTTCAATATTATTTGAAAGTCAACATCTTTTCAAAAAAAATTAAGAGCTAGATTTGGATTGTTCCTCTAGGCATTCTCCAAGAAGTTATAGTCATTTTACAGTCACTTTCAATATGAATTTGAAGAAGACATCCATCGCAGATGACTTTTAGTTTCTTTGAAGGTCAACATCTTATTTCAAACAAGTGTTTCATATCAAGAAGTGCTCGTTTTGTATAAAGATAGTATCTCTAGTAAAACATTTCCTAAGGAATATTACTGAAGTTTTTTCCCAAAACCAAATCGTTATTTTAACACCTCGACACGTGTTTAGATCACCAAGTGCTCATCTTCAAGGGGAAGATCAATTTGATCTTACGAGACATGTATCGCTAGATGACGCGTTGAAAATTCTGAATTCAGTTGTAGATGCAACACATTTTTCTCAGTCGAATTTATAGTTGAAAAAACATTCCAAGGATTCCTTCTTTTCCATATGGTATATTCTTGCGAATGTTTTTTTCCCTGATGGTGATGAATAAAAGTGCCAATACATGTTGCTAGTATTGCTTTGAATGTGCTTTTGTGTCTGTTCAGTTTATCCATATACGGCATTTATGAGAAATCTGCTGCTCATGTCACAATTATTCATTCACAACATATCCTGTATTATTGTTACCATCACAATAAACCAACATTTCACACAAATAGGTTTACTATATGAAAAAAGCCACGCGGAACCAAAAGAGTCGTCTTTGAAGTCTCCTGAACCAATAATCGAAGAACCTGAGTCACCTGGTGAATATCAAAGGACAAATTCTTCTATAATTGAAGAAACCGACCACGTTGAAGACGTCCCGGAAGAAAAGCCCAAAGAAAAATCGAAGAGAGGATTATCGGTACAGATCGAAGAGATTGAAGTTGACCGAAATGCAACTCAACCTACTCCAATAGAGGAGAAGCAAATAGAGAAAAGTAGACCAGAGTCAGCTGTGTCAGCAATAAAAGAAGTTGCTGTCATTGAAGAAGGTGTTAAGGAATCAAAACCCAAACCTGTTGAAGAGACTGAAAGCGATTTCAATAAAAAGCTCCAGAGAGGTATATCAGCCACAAAAGAAAAAATAGATATAGTTGAGGATGATTCAGTTCACAAAGAACCTCAAACACCTGTTGAAACAGAACTGGATTCTGAGAAACCTTTCCCCAAAAAAGCAACTAAAGCAACTGTAGAAAAAGCCGATACAGTGGAGGTTAACGAATCTGATAGCTCTCCGAAAAAATCGAAAGAAGAAGTTCTTCAGAGGCAAGAGAGCCAAAAGGGACAGAAAGTTTTTGAGGAAGAAGCTGATGCCAAAACTGAAGAACTCCTGAGACGAGCTCAGAAACAGAGAAGCTTGGTCGAAGACATTTCTGAAAAATCAAGTGATGCAAAAGAAGGTAGAAACTATGTGTACATGCCTACTATAATAACATGAATAAAACAATACCTTCTAACACACAATCATTCAGAATGATAGTCATATGTTCAGTTTCATTGAAATATACTCAGAATGAACCAATTTGTTCTGGCAGTGGAGTCTTTCAATGAAACTGAATGAACAGTCACTCGAAACTTTATGTTGTTATTAACAATTTCAGTTCATTGTTGAATGCAGCACTTTGGAATCGCTTTTTTAACTTGCACTTACGACAAGGTAAGCAGTAGTTATAATAAAATCCATGCTGGCTAACCACAAAACGCTTACGGTAAGTTGTATGGTAGCGATATTATCAATAGCAATAGTGTGACAGTTTTAGATAATTTGGAAGCTGAGTTGATCACAAGTCTGAGAAGAAATTATGATCCTATTGAATTTTCTAAGATACCTGTTTCAAAAGTCTGGAGCAAGCTCCCTAGAAATGTATCGAAAATTTTCAAATGATTTCGCTCTATCGAAAATAGCACTCGATCTTAAGTAGATTTCAAGAAAATAACCTTTCTTTAACAAAGTTTAGGGACCAAAATAATATAGCTTAGCACCTCATCAAGGAAAGCAATCTTAATTCTTCCAGAATATATGAACTTGAACTACTGATATAATTTTATGGAGCGCTTCACTAGTTTTATGATATGCAACAAAAAAATCTCAAATGGCTAACTTTATCCTGAGGCTTTAGTACCTACTTCCAATCTGGAGTAGATTGGTGAATATGTAAAGGAGATATATATGTTTGCTTCAGAATACCATTGACTCATAAGAGTATGAGTAGGTATTTCAAAATTTCAGTTTTCACTAGAGAATTCTCTAACCGCTTATACACAATTGGCTAATTTAACTTCGATTAAAAAATTATTGTTGCCTGTTTGAGATATGAAACACGTGTATACATCATTGGGTCTGCCATATGCTCAATATTCCATCTGGTTACATTCCACACTCGAATTACTTTTCCAATGCCTCATTATAGGATATTTACACAAAAAAATTCTTTAGATATTTAGTCACTTATGTTATCAGAAACCGTTTTTGCTTCTTGGAACCTATTCGATCCATCCATTTCCTACAAATCAATGGAAAATTCATTTTCATCTACTTCGTCTTCCAATTAAATTCATTCTTATCATTTTATTCACTGTATCAGTTCGTATCATTTCATTCTTTACATAATTTTGACTGTACATGCAAAACCTATGTCCATCTGTTGCATTACCTGCAACGCAGTTCTTCTTTTTTTTTAGTCCCTTGGGAGCTGTCTGACTTGTCCATTTAGTCCAAGTCTCCAGAATATTCCAGCTCTCGTTCCATGTTTGATCTTCGATCCATCTGTATGGCAAGTGTTTTTTCCAAACATGTTTTTGGGATGACTAATGGTCGTCCACTCTTCACGACTCATGGTTTTGACCGGGAAGTTTGTGTTGAAGGTGTATTTCGGTGTCATGTGGTCCGTGCACATATTCAATATGTGCTCCTCCACGTGTTCCGGAATTTCTGTTCGGTCCGATCTTCTGTAGTTGGCTGAGTTTTCCAGTCTAAATCCTAGCCTCCCCCTAAGTGTAAAGGAGGTAGATTCAGGGGTGTCTAAAATGCAGCTGTTGGGGTAGTTCTCATTGCTCCCGTCATTCCCAAACATGAAAGTCTTTGCACCTTGTCTAGTTTGCTGATAGCAGTCGCCTGCTTCATCTTTGGCCACCAGACCAGAGATGCGTATGTTATCATGGGTTTAACCACCATCATGTATAGTCAAGAAACCAATAAACCATTTTAGCCCCCATGTTTTTCCATAGGTGCGTCTGGCGAGCATCAGTGCTGTCTCCGCTTTCCTCTTCATCCTGTCCAGGTATTGGTTCCAGGTCAGTTTGGAATATGGAGTTACTCCCTTGTATGTTCAGGTGTTTTATAATTTCTGAGCCGATCCGTCTTTGTTTCTTATTTGCTCATTCCTCCTGCCAAATATTTGGATATACCTACAACTGGTTCCAACCACACATATAGTGTTGTTGATCAACCAATTCAATCAATTCTTGTTTGCAAGTTCCTTCGGATCTTCGCAGTCTCACCAAACCAGTATCGACATCACATCTTATTTATAGTCCCTTGTTAACTTTCAACCTACAAGCGTCAAAAATTAGAAACTCCAGTATACCTAAAGTCATCCGCTATCGAAAACTAATACTTTCTTCCATTCATTCAGCCATACCAATAATCCTGGATACGAACATGAAAGATGGATCCAGACCTGAATCCTTAGATATTACATACATCGTTAGAGGATTCGCGAATCCTCCTCCAGTAGGAACTTGGACGCTGGACGGTAAGGAAATCAAGCCTGATAGCAACCTCAGAATGACCACCAGTCACAATGGTGAAGAATTCAAACTGGAAATAAAAAAATTGGAAATGAAGGACGCCGGCGTTTATCAATGCATCTTGAGCAATCCTCTTGGAGATGTCAAACATCAGGCGGTTTTGGAAGTTACACGTGAGTAGCATCATTGTTATAACATATAATAGGTGGAACTATAATATAAAGATGACAGTAAGCAACATGTTCAATCTCTCTTATGAAATTTCCATCATTTTGGAACTCATAACTTTACATTCAGTGGATTGATCCATATATCAGTACGCTATTTATTCTACGTTATTTCAAAGTCATTCAAGCCTGTGTAACTTGTTATGCAACCTAGTAACGAAAATTTAAAAAGAGTATAGCCCAATTTCACTAGTTCGGACTTCCATTGTCTACTATATAAAATGATTTGAAATTCCTGAAACAAGTAAAAAAGAATAATTAAAAAAAGAATAGCTGAAGATAACAATTATATTAAGCAAACAATAAACCTGAAATGAAATGATAGTGAAATAACCTACGAGTGAAAATATAATAATTGAATGAATAAAATAAAAATTGAAGGAATGAAAAAAGAAAATAATAAAAAAGTGTAGAGATTCCAAGTCACGTTAGTTCACGACGTTTCGATTGTTGGTATCTACAATCGTCTTCGGGTATTGACTGGACTGATTCCTCCGAGAGATGACTATTTTATAGGTCG